CAAAATCAAGGAAGAACGTATCTCACCTCTTCAAGCCATGCTAGACATCAATTTTCGTCATCTTCCTACTCTTCATGAGTGGAAATTTGACAATCTCTTCGAGCTTGAACCAATTGTCTACCATCAACTTGTTCGTATCTTCTACTCTAATGCCGTTTGTATTAAAAACCGATAGGAAACCTTAACCATAGGGATCCGATCCTATCTTCTAGGACGATTCTTTCATCTTGACTCGGAATCCATTGCCAAAGCATTAGGATTAGATAATGAAGGGTTAGACAATGAAAAACTTACGGTAGGATCTCAGTATAAACGAAGGGATAGTACAAGTGTTCTAGACCTTCATGACCGTTTTCTTCACCTAATGATCTCTTGGTGGTTTCGACCATCCGCGGGTCGTTACTCTACTCTTCGCGTCTTAGATCTATTTTGGCTTCATTGTGTCCAAAATAATCACAAAATTAACCTTCCATATATTATTTTTGAACTTGTTGAAATCGTAAATCTTGTTCCTAATAAGAAATTGTGTTCTTCTTTAGTTTACGGTTGCATTCTTAGTAATCTGTTTAAGAAGGCTGGGCTTAGAGTTGGTCTTGATGCTTCCTTTCCCCTCAAAAACCAAATCAATCTATTCTCTTTAACTAAATCAGGATGGAAGAACAATGAAGAAACTGGTCTTTGGGTTCGTACCGGTGAGCAACCGCATGAAGTTGACGACTCCGACGATGAACCAGAACAACACGAGGAACAAGCACGAGCAGAGGAACAAGCACAACCAGAGGATCAAATGCCTCCATACTTTCGATCCTTTATGGAGACATTCGATTTCTGATATTCTTCCATGGATTCACGCTTCACTTCCATAGAATCTCATTTATCCACAATGGGAGCTCAATAATTGGAAATTCTCCGGGAGATGCGCACAAACAACGCTTCTATGAATGAATGCATTGATGCACTCTCACATGATATGGCCGCTATACGAGCTCATTTTCCTCCTCCGATCCTCTTACGGATGCTTGATTATGTGTTATGCTTTAGTACTTTGAACTTAAAGCTTATTGTTTCAACATTTTGAATGTTTTTGGATTGTTTTTACTTTGGTTGTTGGATATTTGAACTAATTTGATAAATTATGGATGTTTGAACTTATATTTCTATATATTTGGTTTGATTAAATTTATTCATTATTGTATCATTTACATCAATTAGATATATGACCAATTTTGCCATGTCACATTGTTTATGAATATTGATTATGAAACTAATGGCTAACGTTTCTCTTGATTGTGATCTTAGCAGCTTAAGCTATTTATCTATATATAATCAGTTGGCTGAATGATTTCAAAACCTTGTTTAAAATCTTTTAAGAGTCTTTTTGATTTAACAAAAAGGGGGAGAAATGTTAAAAATGTTTTAAAGGGGAGAAGTGTTAGAGTAAGGGGGAGTAATTTCAAACTTGATTTCAAAATAAAATCTTAAAATTACTAAAATGTTTTGTTATATCAAAAAGGGGGAGATTGTTGAAAACATTTTGATATTTCGATACAACAAATTAAGTTAAATGAATTTTAAGATTTTCCAAAAAGATTTTCTAAGTATATTCGATATAATTATTCGAATATCAAAATATTACTCCAAATCTTTCAAATGTCATTTTTAATCCTTACTAAAGTGTAAAATTAAGTTTTAATCTTAAAATAATTTCAAAACAATTTTACAAAATATTTCGAACCATTTCAAAGCCAAAAATTCCAGATTGCTCAGAGGGAACCGATTCCCCCCCCAAGGGGGTACCGATTCCCCCTGATCAACGGTCGAAATATTTGAATTTTACACTTAGGGAACCGATTCCCCATGAGGGGGTACCGATTCCCCCTACGCTTCAAATAGAAATATTAATTGTTTTCACAATTAAACGGCTCCAATAACTTCATTAATGATCCCCAACGTTCAGAAGTGATTCAAGGTGTATTTCAAGAAACTTATAAGCCATTGATCAATAACAAGAAACAACAAGCAACTAGAATCAAGAGAGAATCAAAGAGAAAGCATCAAACCTCAAGTTTGAGCATTTCAAGCTTATTTTTCATTCAATATTCATTTTGCATTCAAGAACACTACTTGTACTCAATTGTATTCATTCTTGAGTGTTCTTTTCTTTGTTCTAGAATTGTACAAACAATCTACCTTGTGAGGATTTCCTTTTAAGTTTGCAAATTTGTATTGTTCTCTTTGGGAGAGAGTGTTCTCAAGAATTTGGAGTATAATTCTTGAGGGTTTGTAAGTTTACTCTTTGTCCTCAAAAGAAAGACAAATTAGTGAATTTGTGGAAAATACTTAGTGTGGATAGCTAAGGTAGTGGACGTAGACTTTGGTTAAGAAAGTCGAACCACTCTAAATCGTTTTGCAATTACTTTCAATTTTCTACAAAAGCTTCCACCAAATTTTTAATTTCCAATTCACCCCCCTCTTGGCCGATTCCGTCAATCGATTAACTCAACAGTTACTTTGTCAAAGATCTGTAACTCTGAATCATTTACAGAGTTTTTTAATTCAGCTGATATTCAAAGAATTTCAAGTAGTAAATTTAATTCAATGCTCAACACAAATTCATTGAAATGACCTCATAAAAAGAAATATGTTAAAGTTCAAAAACAAGTTACAAAAATAAATATGAGAAGGTAAAAAAAACAAGTCCAAACAGGACGCTGCAAAATGGAATAAATCCTCATTAGGATGCCCTACTATTTCCAGAATGTCGAGGATTAGTGCCTTCATCTACACTTACTCCCCATCTTTCAACCTTTTCACTTGTCGGGGCTCCTTTTGATGTACTCTCAGATGAACAAATCTTTGATTCGGAAGTGTCCTTGCTTTCATCGAAAAATTCCTGTTCTTTTCTATTTGAACGAGTGTTATGTGAATGAGGTATGTCCAATGCTTGAGGTGGAGTGTCCAGTGTTTGTACCCTTGTTTATGAGACATCTTTTGTTAGTTCATGTGAATGCAATGAAAAAAAAGAAAAATTATGTGAAATATGCAAGAATGCATGATGCATGAAATGTTTGAGGCATTGATCCAAAAAATGTGTCTATTATTAGAAATAATCCTTATTGGGGACAAAAGTGTTACGTCTGAAGAGATAAAAAAGTTTTTGATGGTATAGATCCCGAACAGCCTCTGACAAGTTGATTCGTCTTCCGTCCTTTCTGCCACCGGTTGAATACCCTATCGAGCTATTTCGGCTCCTCTGGCTAAGTTGTGCAAGTGACGAGCTGCTTGCCCCAAAAAAAATTCTCGAATGACTGCATCTCCTACTTTTACCCTCTGCTGAGCTTGTTCCTAACAAAAGTGCCACTGGGGCTCTCCATCGATGGGAACTATCCGAAGTTTGCTTCTTGAATTCGTCAATAATGGTCTCCAGCTTGGCTAGGGTTTCGCCATCTTGTTCTTGTTGTTTTTGAAAGGATTCTCTAGGTCAACAACCTTTTCCCCTGCAACTCTTGTTAACTCAAAAAGTTTACTTTTGGCGTGCTCGGTGTAATCCAGGTTTGTTCTGAATCCTTTCTGACCATAACTGGACTTTTGAGTTTTTCATCTCTTGTATTATAGCCCCTTTGTCCATTAATGCAGATTATTCATGTTTAACAAACACGTTTTTGGTGGATCAACACCTCTTTTGAATGATGCAAATGATGAAAATAAAAAAAGAACAAAAATGAAAAGAGTTGGTGAGGTAAAAATAATTAAAAAAATGAAAATAAAAGTCCTACCCCACATGCTTATTATTCCTACCCGGACATGATCTCTATCCCGCATGTTAATTTCAAACAAATTCTAACTGCATATTTGTCTAGTTCGCATGCTCTTATTCCATGTACTCTCCCGGTTTAGGTTCTAAAAAGGGTACCCGAGTTCTCTTTGCTGGTGCCCCTTTGTGCTTGCCAGACCCTTAGTCCTAAGCCCATTACAAGCTTGTGTGGACTAAGATAAACTCGAGAGGACACATTCCCTTATGCCCACACGGTGAATAAATTCACACAAAGGCATAAGGTATATGAATCCCGAATGCTACTTGCTAGGCCCGCACGGTGAATAAATTCACACGAAGGAGTCACTTTCACCCCCACTTAAAAAAGGTTTGGAGCTCGGGTATAAAGTATGAGATTAAAATTTTAAAAATATGAAATCATTGTAAAAACGTCAGTACAACTATTTATTTGAAAAAAAATAATCAAAGATAAATAATTAGAATCGAATAAATAAATTAAAATTTAAACTTGTAATTCGCTCAAAAAGACAGTCTGAAATTAATTTCGGCCTGACTCACTTACCTGTCCCCAATGGAGTCGCCAAGCTGTCGGAACCGTCTTTCGGTTGGGCCCAAAATTGGGCTTCGACTTGGATTTAAATTAATTGAAGTCGCCACCGATTATTTATTTTAAAAAACAAATAGGTTGATCTGATACCTTAATTTCTTACCTGATCTGCGTTTTACCAAAAATATGTCGAGTTCGGGAGTCAGTTACGGTCATGGAAGATTAACACCCTTGAACCGCCCTTTCGGTACCGTTTAATTTGCCGGTTGTCTTAATTACGAAAATAAAACTTAAATTTAAATTTAAATTAAAAAAAAAACTCGATTCAAATTACTTACCTCGAATTGGTTGAAAAGTATCTCTAAAGTCAAAAATATTATTAGATTATAAAATAAAAATGAAAAATGAAAAAATATTAGTATAATAATAAAAAAATAAATAAAAATTAGTAAAAATGTTAATAATAATAATAATAAATAATAAAGTACTAAAATAAAATTAAAGGAAATTAATGAAAGCATTACAAACTGAAACTACACTAGAAAGTTGCAGCGAATTTCAACATTTATATGAAATATTCTCGATTTGCACAAGATACTCTTTAACACTACTTATCGTCAGAAAATTACCATGAATCAGCTAACGAAAACAATCCATGAATTTTCATCTATTGCCGTTTTCAGTGAGCCTTGTATACCGAAAACACAATGCTTCTTGCGACTTCTCTGGCCTCGGGGAGTCTATCGTTCAACAAATCCATAGCCAGTTGAAGCAGTGTAACGAACCCGACCTCTTTCATTTCTTCCACACCCATCATGGAAACAGAGTTCGAAACAGAAACAGTCGATTTAGCTCGGACTCTAAGGTTGCGATGGGTAACATATCTGCCTAGCTTCTTAAGCAGAGGCAAAGGAGGAATGAAGTTTGCCATTGCTTTCAGTGACCTATCTGCTTCTTCACATACAAAATTCTTGCCTTGAGAAGCTTTAAGTAACAATTGCAGAAACAACCGATCAAATGCACCGGAAGCGGTTAAGTCGAGCAACTTTTCACCAAATGCATTGAAGATATCCGAAGCAGCCATAATCGAGGTCTTGCAAAGGGCACTTCTCGGGTTACTCATTGCCTTCACCACTACCGATATTACCTTCTCTAAGATTGGAAGCAGTAGTGTGGAGTGATATAAAGAGAAACGCCGAACGTCATTCAATGACTCGCAAACTTTAATCCGATCTTTTGACTCCAACCCTTCTACTAAGCTTTGGAACTTGGATTCTCGGTCTCCACGTTAAATCCGATAGTTGGAATAGTTGTAACAATTTCTCCAAGCTTGAGCTTGTACAAGATGGTGTTTTACCGGCTGCATCAAGACCCACCATCAAAATTCGCATCTCCTTCTTGGCAAAAAGCCGGCTAAAAAGCTTCGCAAATGACAACCCCATTTCTCTTCCTTAATTACCAATCCCTTTGAAGATAATTGCAGAATGATACGTGAGAGATTCTGGACTTGAATTCAATTATTGAAGCAGAGGGAAGTAAGAAGAGAGACAAAGAAATTTGAGCCACCAGAGAGCGTGAGACTAACGCCAATTAAATGTGGGAATGGAATTGCCATTTGATACTGGAAAGTGGATACCATGAAGGAAGAGAAAGAAGGCCCCCTGAAATGATGAGAATAATATGTTTAAATATTAAAAGCCCCAAAAGTAGATTTGTTTTTTAGTTAGTGGGAGTAGTGAAAAAAATGGATAGGAATGGAATGGGTAGGGTAGTGGAGTTAGAGAACGTGAATGGAAATGGGGTAGTGGAAGGTGAGGGTTGAACATTGACCTACAAAAATAAAAAATAAAATAATAATAATAATAATAATAATAATAATTTGTAAATCCCGACGAAAATGAGTGTCTACAACATAAAAAAGAAACAAAGTCCATACTGCGGATCCAAGTTTGCTAGCTTTGCATAACCTATGTCCTGTTTTTCAAGTAATTTAATCGAATAGTTAAATAAGGAAACTAAGTGTTTATGTATATGTTAATGGTGTTTATGTTAATGGTGTATATCTTATATAGAACCTGAGGAATGCAGAGACTGGCGATAGTGAGTCCAGCAATGATATCACCACGAAATTTTCTCCAGGTGTAACTCCTTCCCCATTCAAGAATGGGGAGGATGGCCTGGATTCCCAGGATGAACTTTCGAGACCTGGGTTGATGCTTGAAGGCGCGCAGAGGGTCATCAGCAAACAATGTTTCTTTCACAGTGGATTTGAATTCCTGGAACAGCTTTTGCTTAGGCGGAGCCGCCACCTTGTGTAGATAGTGTTCACTGTGCACGAGACGCCGAGATGTCGACAGGCTTCTAATGTCCATCTCCTTGGTTTCGGCTTGCTCATTATTTGAATCAGGATTCCAAGCCATATCACATCTGTAGCACAGGAAATGCGAGACATGATTAAGAAATATTTGTTTTGGAGATAACATAAACTGACTAGGTATAGAGTTTACGTGGTTCTACGTATGTTTACAGACTACAGTGGAGTATAACCAAAAACATCACTAATAAACATAAAGTGATACAGAAACAAGATTCGAGTCAATATCCATTGAAACCCTAAAAGCTTAATATCTCAGTGCTAATAGAATTTTAAACTGACAGGAAGGCTAAAGGTTAGTGCACTAATCAAAAGGTAATAATCTTGTTAGTTATTGCATGCCATAATGTTTCTCTAAAACATGTACTTTTAACATGGGAACATCGCGTCAGGCTTAAAAATTGATGAAAATCTATTGAGCTAATAGTGAAAAAGAAATAATTAGAAGCTAACCAAAGATGGTGGATATGGGCAGATGGGATTTAGAGAACTCAGCGAGTTCTTTTAAAGTTGGAAAAGAAGCTAGGGAAGATATTGCTTATATCAATAGAGAAAGTCAAACATTTGATACAAAATTGATAAGTAATAATAATTTATGAATCTGGATCTCTTACATTTCACATACAGATAATCAACTGGTAACAAATTTTAATATTGCAAAGTATTCAACACAGCTATTGATGTAAGCGGCTGATCATCTATCTTCCATAATTGTGTAAAATATGCTCTTAAGGGAAATGTTGACTATATTCTGCGCAGGTGGCAAATACTTTAGCCATATCTTTCTGGGTATCTTTTTTTTCCTAACTTACTATATATAATTTCTTCAAGAAAAGTTTTCCCAGGAAAAATACGGGCAATAAAGAATATATTGTACGTGGAATGCACGTAACTAATATTGATGTAGAAATAGGGGGAATTTGTCCATCGCAACCGGCCATTATTGTCTTTTGTTTTCTTTTTCCAATTGTTTGCTTAATAAAGATGGAGTTTTCCCTTTCAAAAATTGGGTTACTGGAAAATATATGCTGTACCAAAATAAACGATTTAATTAAAAGAGAGCAAGATGAAATACTTAAAAAAATGTTGAAAAAATTCAACGATGACCCTTGGCAAGACCAAAAACGTAAATTTGACTAGATTAAAGAATGCATTTGAACTGTCAATTGATGCAATGCATGAAAGTAGCAGGCAATTCCAATTCATTTACTTTAAATCTCGATTTCAGCAGCCACATCATATTCGGTAAAGATTAACATCCCATTATTTGTATTCCATCAAAAAAGAGTTGATATATGGTTCATAAGAGAATATATATGTTTTCTATATTGCATGTCATTTTAAGGAGGAAGAATAATGGGTAAGCTAGCAAGTCCTCGTTTCATATACTTCACATGCATTGAAGCCATTCATAGTGGAAGTCACTATCCTTCCCCAGCGACCTTCCTAAAGAAGCTTTACTTCAAAAATATCTGCAAAGGGAGGTCGAAGGGACAATACATAACAAAAAGGAAAGAAAAAAATGCTCAAAAATCAATTCAAAGGCTCACTGTTTGGTTCCCAACTTTGCATGGTGTTGCGGAAGACGGCTATCGGATAAAACAAAATTGCAACTGTTAATTTGAGAAAATAAAAATAAAGATAAAGAAGACACAAAATTTACATAGAAAATCCCTAAATAATATAGGTAAAAATCACGGGCAACGGTAAAAGAATTTACTATGAGAAAATAGGAATTACAACCTCTATCGATCTACCAAGAAGAAAACAATGATAATTCTCTCTTGATAAAAAAGGAGAAAACAACTCTCAAGAAACTCTCTAAATTCTCTAGTATTGGGAGAAAGCTAGAATGATTTGGGATGATTTTGAAGCTAAATGAGCTAGGGTATTTATAGTTGAAGCTTAAGGACTAATTTATAAATACCCTAAATTACAATGACTAAAATTGAGATTTTACCATTGTCAAAAATAATAAATTTCCAGCTACCTTTTTGGTGCATTAATTTTGCACCTTTCGGTGCTACAACTTGCACCAAACAATTTCAACAATATCCCACTTGAATATTTGATTGGAACAATCATATCTTCACACCATTCTTTCTACCTTCTACCATTATGTTGCTTACGTTTCTGACAGGCCATAGGAGGATCGACACCAGGTAAATTATCAGTATTGATTGCCTTCGTCATGAAATCTGCTATGTTGTCTTTGGTATGGATCTTCTGCATATCTATCATCCCTTCTTCCACCTTTTCACGAATGAAATGGTACTAAACTCGTATATGCTTTTTCCTTGAATGAAATGTTGGATTCCTTGCTAGATGCTAGACGCTTTGACTGTCACAAAATAGAGAGACATACTCTTGATTGTGCCCAAGCTCCTCCAATAGCATCATCAACTAGATTGCTTCTTTACTGGCTTGTGTAGCTGCTACATATTCTGCCTCTGTTGTGGATGTAGCCACAACTGACTAAAATTTTGAAACCCAGCTTACAGCTCCACCAGTAATTTTGAACACATATCCTGTAGTAGATTTGCTTTTATCCAAATCCCCTGCATAGTCATAATCTACATACCCATTGATTAGTAAGTTTGATCCTCCATAATATAATGCAAAATTTGAGGTCCCTTTGATGTATCTCAGGATCCTCTTTATTGTATTCCAATGCTCTTTGCCTGGATTCGCCATGTACCGACTAACCACTCCCACTGCTTGTGCAATGTTTGGTCTTGTACATATCATAGCGAACATTAAACTTCCCACTGCTGATGCATACGGTACTCGAGACATCTCCCTCCTCTCTTCTTCACTTCTAGGACTCATACTGGAGGATAATTTGAAGTTAATAGGAAGAGGGGTAGAAATTGGCTTACAATCTTGCATGCTGAATCTTGACAAGATCTTCTTCAAGTAATTCTTTTGTGAAAGCCAAATCTTCCTATTACTTCTGTCTCGGTGAATTTGTTCCCTAGAATCTTGTTTGTTGATCCCAAGACCTTCATTTCAAATTCCCTAGCCAGTTGTGCCTTCAATTCTTCAATATGATCTTTGTTGGGTCCTGCAACCAACATGGCATCCACATACAATAGCAATATAACAAAATCTTTATCACCAAACCTCTTGAAATAAGCACAAGGGTCTGCATTAAGTCTGTTGAATCCAAGAGACATAATGAAGGAATCAAATCTCTTATACCAACACCTCGGCGCCTGGTTTAGACCGTACAAAGATTTGTTCAACCTGCAAACCAAGTTCTTCTTTTCTTTTTCTTCAAAACCTTCAGGCTGGAGCATGTAAATTTCTTCTTCAAGATTTCCATGAAGAAAAGTTGTTTTAACATCTAGCTCCTCTAGATGTAAGTTCAATGTAGCACACATTGCCAAGACTACTCGAATTGTTGTTAGTCGAACCACAGGAGAAAATATTTCATTGAAATCAATACCTTCTTTTTGAGCATATCCTTTGACCACCAGTCTTGCACGATACCTCTCAACTTGATCGTCACCATTTTGCTTGATTTTGAAGACTCATTTGTTACCAACTGGCTTCCTTCCTTGTGGTAGTGGCACAAGGTCCCATGTATTATTTTTATGAAGGGCTTCAATTTCTTCTTGCATCGCCATCATCCACAGTGAAGCATCTGAGCTGTTTATTGCCTCATGGTATGTCCGTCCTCTGTTAAAAGGCAGTATGCAATATTACCTTCTATAACATAATCTGAGTGCCAATTGGGACGTCTTCTCACACGATCTGATTGACGAGTTGTTGGAGCTTCAGAACTCTATGGTTCTTGTTCATCATGTGCTGGTTCTGCTTCAGAAGATCTCCTTATTCAAACTCCTTTTCCACATGTATCTGTGTAGTCTCTGATTTTTCAGTGCTATCATCGTCTTCTTTTCTTTGTAGTTTATCTTCTACAAAGATAACATCTCTACTGATGATCACTTTATGGGCAGTGGGACCCCACAAGTGATACCCCTTTACACCATCAACATACCCCAAGAATTTGCATTTCCTGGATTTTGGATCCAACTTTGAAATTTCTTGGGAGTTGTACATCACGTAAACAATACTTCCAAATACATGGAGGTTTGAATAATCAGCTGGTTTTCCAGTCCACATCTCTATTGGTGTCTTCAGCTCTATTGCAGTTGATGGAGCTCGATTCACTAAATAACAGGTGGTATTGACTGCTTATGCCCAGAATAATTTTTCTAGGCCTGCATCCCTCAACATTGCTCTTGTT